AAAATGGTAAAGAAAGGTAGTCCAAAAATCCAACTAAAAATGTAACAGACCAAAACCATGGAGACATCAAGGGAAAACACGTACAAGGAGCCAGGGAGAGACGAGGGGAGACGACTACAGCGAAGACAGGACCGGCAACAACAAGGAACCAACAAAAAGTGAGAGCAGAGGGAGAGCATCAATAGCTGACAAAGACAAAGGGAGGGCTAACGAGCTGATAAGGAGCAGGTGTGAGGAGACAACGAGGGAGCCAAGGGGAAAGGAACACACACACAAGAGGGCAACAGAGGACAGAGGAAAACGTGAGAACTAACATAAATCTAGAAATTACAACCAAATAGGAGTTAAACCAATAAAACTAGAAAACAAGGAGCAAAGTAAAGCACAACAGAACCAAAACCATGACACGTATGTTTAGATGCTCAAATCAATCAGTTTTTTTTTCAATGGAACATTTCAATAATTCATGTGGTGCAAAAAGTCCTTTACAACTTAATAAAAAAAAACAAGAACATTTTAAGACAAAATAGATAAGAAATGTCTAAAGGTAAGAAAAAACAAAACAATAAAAATAAAATATAAAAAAATGCATTTATATCATTTCTTTTTTATTCTGTCAGAAGATTTGAAACCCATACATTCATATTTTGACAATGGGATGCCTTATTGGCTGATACTGCTCTCCAAAGCCCTTTAACAATTACCTGTAAGCCATACTTAGAGGCCAATTCACTTAGACACTAGCAGTAATGGCAGCCTTTGTGCTCTGCACAGTAAATAATAAATAAAAAAAAACTCTCTAATCCCAACACCTACCTTAAAAACAAAAGAACAACGATTAAGTAAAAGGAATCTAAGGTTGAAAAAAAATATTTCTTGTTGTCATTTAACATGTCTTTTTTTATGTATATTTCATCTGATCTTTGGAAATGAGCTCCAAGTCTTTGAAGTTAGAAAAACTCAATACTAACTTAGTCACTCCTAATTTTTTTCAGCTAGTAGAGACATACTGGTAAAGTTTAAAAAGTACTTCCAATATAAATATGTTAGGGGTGTTAATAATTTTGGACTAAAAACTGGGGATAATATTCTGTCATGGAGAAAATTACAAATCACCTTTTTTGCCTTTTTTACCATATTTCATCATGTAATGTACCTTTAGAAGAAGGAATCAAATAAAACACAGTGGTTTAACAGATTTTCCTTGACTACATAAACTTGTTTCTTTCTATCCTGTAATTTTTTTTTAGATACATACAGTATATGACCATTATTTAAGATCCAGTATGATCTAGTGTTTTTGGTCAAAAGGGAGAAAAATAACTTGCTTACTGCAGTATTGCGTTGAATACAACTCCTTTAGAAAGCTGTTTTTAAAAAGTGTAAAATTCAAGAGCTTTAAACATAATAGCAGGTGATTTTTTTTTTATATATATATATATATATATATATATAAAATTACATTTGGAAAATGACACATTTCAAATGTTGATCATATTTAAACCTCATCAGGCACTTGGCAAATTTTCCCACTTTCAAAAGGCCCCACTTCATTGTGTCTCTATTCACACTGCTTCAAGCTTCTGATGTGCACCACTGGCTTCCATTTTGTGTTTAATTGCGCTGCTTGTGTTTAAGTGTGTGGACCACTGATGCATCACCATGGAATCCCGCAGTGGCTTATTACTGCCAGGCTCCGCTATCTGCTGTTCCTAACCTGCTGGGTCATTTCCAGCTGCTGTAATCTAACATTAGCCTCCGCTTTTACCGGGTCCCAACCATTTACCCCCTTATATATTATAGATGACCCCCAGAAAATGGAAGAATCCCAGCAGACATAGAATTAATTTACCGCAGTCCTCAATTTTAAGGAAAATTGAATCAAAGTCAGCGCCACAGACAGAGAGGAGGTTTATATTCCAGTGTCACAGTCTATAAAACCTGAATGAAAAGCTATTTGATGATTAAGTGTTTTTTGTGATTCATTGGTATCTGTTGGTTTCACTAATAATAATTTCACTGTAAAGTCGCAAAGTCTCCCAAAGCCCAGACTTCTTTCAATCAAACCTAATCCCCTTTTTCTCTCTCTCTTTATTTTTTTGAATGAGTCTCATTTTAAGGCTCACGAATACAAGTCTTTACAAACTGAGTTGACAGTGAGTGTTCATATATTTTGGGAATACGCATGAACGCGGATGTGAAGTCAGTCCTGTCGGTGCTCATCAGGTTTAGCTGGAAAACTCTAAACAAATGTGACATTTAATTCCGCAGACATCCTTTTACTCCAGAGATAGATTTTTTTTTTCAAAAGAGAAGGAAGAAAAAGCTGAGGATCCCACAAATCTTTAATGCAATGGGGGTGATGGGGAGAAAAGTGCCTTGGGGTTCCTGACTATTGAAATACAGGATATCGAGGGAGAGAAGCCTTTGTGTAAGATGGCACCAATAGCAGAATGGGAGCAGCTCATAATAAGAGACTTTTGTCAGGTTTAAAAATTAGAAGAAGTAATTTGGGTCCAACAAAGTAAAGCAGGCTTGTTTGTTGTTCAGCCCAACCATTACGGCTGTTATTGACAAAAGAAGGAGCTATTTGCAGAGTTTAATATCAGCATAAGTTCAGTGCAGGTTGTTCATCTTTTATGCTTTGGTAAGTTTAGAGAGTAAAACTTACCTTGTACGTATCTAATTGGTCCCAGTTATCTTCATCGACAAAAGTGTTGCGTGTTACTGTGTGTCTGTAATTAAAGGTTAAGATTTCTGTTCGGAGTTGTGGCAATGAACTTGAGAAGCAAAGCTGTCTAGACCAATTAGTTCAATTACAAAAAGCACTTCTTCTGCAGTGGAGGTGAAAATTGGAGGATTTGGTGGTCTTAGTGAGAAAAGGATATGGTCTAATTGGGCACTAAATAATAAGAACCAGACTGCTGGGGAGGTAGTTCTGGTATATTTATGATTACTTTGCCAAAGCCTTTCCCAGCATTTCAGTTATTTTGGTTTATAAGTTTGTCAACATCTCTTGTTTTTGGTGTTAAGGCTACTAGTTGAAAATTACAGTACAGAATCGTATATTTTCTTAGCTGTACACAATTAACACTGATCCTTCACACTTCCTCCAAGACATTTCACAATTTCCCTGGTCTGCTACTATATAATGATGTAGTTATATGGATTGGTATATTTGAACTGGAAAGTGAAACAAACATCCGGCCTTCTACAAAACATTAATCGAATAGGTGTTGAAAGGTGTTTAAAAAAACTGAGCAGAATCCGGTTGTCGGCGATTTAAGTCTGTTTTGTGGTTGCCATGACCGAGGTAAGTGGGCATAAAAGGACATTCTGTCTACTTTACTGACTTAGACTGAAGGTGGATTTATGCTCAGAAACCAGGTCGTCTGCTTCAGACACTCTGCTACAACTCTCAGAAATTGTAGGTGGCCGCAGACAGGGTGCCTCTAAATGGTCAAACCTACATCCATTTTACACTATGCATATTTCTTGTTTGTTACCTTATTGGCTTGTTTTGTTTGTATGACCGCCATTGTGGAAAACGACTTGTGAAGATGGACCAGCTAGAAGAGCGTGGTGCGGGAAAACGCTGGGACCTTTTTTCCACCTGGACCTTTTTCGCCCTCATGTTTCTCCGTTGTCGCATAAAACTTGTCCCCCCTTCCTCACCACCTCGGCCGTATTTAGACCCACAGCCACAGCTAGTTCCTGATCGTCCCTCTTGCGTTTTGGCGTGGAATAACATAGCGCAGACAACGCTTCAATATTGGGCATAAATCAAAAATATCTGCATCATACCTGCAACAAGCTCACTGCGACGCACTGCTGCGGGAGTATAACCAGTCCTTTAGACTTAGGGAGACTTTGTCATTTTGTACACACAGAGTGTATACAAAAAGAAGTTTTGTTCAGTACAGTTCTCAAGAAAAAGTTCAGTTTTTAAAGTGCAGCAGTGATCAAATATAAACATAAGGCTGGGATATGATTTGCGGTTTCCAACATTTAGCCCTTTTTTTTTACTGTCTACTATTACTTATACTAAATTATTTGCATGCATTTGACCTTGCACATGGTTTTGAGTTGAAAAATAGAATTACCAGTTACAATAAATACCTTAAAATTGTATAAATTTTTTCAACTCTTACACTCCACAGCGCAGGGCTGAGAAAATCATTTAACAGCATTGATAAAGGCTATTGTATGGCTAAGTACAGTAAAACCTCAACCTCTTCAGAAACAACAAGCAGGATCCATTAAAGAAAGTGCAACTAACAATGACAAGCAGTGGATAAAAAGAGCATCATATACAGTGTTGAAGATAACAGCATGTAGGGCAATTGTGCCCCCAACCAACCCCCCAGAAAAATATGTATTTGTAAAAAAAATAAAAGTGGAACCTGTATTGTAGTATAGAACAGCCATAAATAAATCAAAATGCTATGATTTACCTAACTATATATTTTAAAAGAAGTTAATAAATACACATAAGACTGAGCTGAAATTAGCTCCAAAGAGCTGAAATGAGATAAGGAGGGTATTTAACTAAGTAATTAGGTAAAAGATCTTGTAGACAAATATTGAACTCATGACAAAATGGAGCAGAATGATTTTTTTTTTTTTTACACTTGTTCCATCAAATCTCTTCCTATATTTTACAGGAAAAACTAGAAACACACAAGCTGACACATTTTATGACAGAAGGAGCACCTAATATTAAAATTAGAGATAAAAAGTAATTCTAATAATTATAATTCAACAGCTTCAAATTAAGTTTAGGTTTGCACAGTTGATGTTGCATTAATAGAATAGAATAGAAATAAAAAAAATACTCTAAAATTACACATTTAACAAATTAATTTATCAGCTAATTTTTTTTTATATTGTGTTTTACATAATTATTAGTGCATTCAGTTTCTGTTCTTTTTATACCGCTTTTCGAAGAGCAGTTCATGTAAGTTTTTTTGTTGACCTTAAATTGTATTTTCCCTTTCTAGGACACTGAGATTCTGAACACGGCTGTCCTGACTGGAAAGACGGTCGCTGTCCCAGTAAAGGTAGTGACCATTGCAACAGACGCCTCTGTCACTGATGTCTCTGAAGCAGTGAAATGTCGCTCGACAGACGAGGACGTGGTCAAGGTCAGTAAGGTGCCAGTAAAAGTTACAACTTTCATTATTTTCATAATCCTAAACACACTTTCTGAGGCCACTTTAAGTGTTAACTGATCATTTTCAATTAAATTCAATTCATTCATATCATCTCCAGGCTCTTTACAGAGACAATCCAACCAGATTTTATCAAACAAAAACCAACTGATTGTATTGACTTATTGACTTGAAGGCAATCCCTCACACTAAGCATGCTTGTAGTGACAGTGGAGAGAAAAAACATAAAGGTTGTTGTATGTTCACAACTTCAATTTTGGCCAGCATTGTCAGTTATCTGTCATTGCTGGTGTTGCATTGATCATCTAAATGCATTGCCTTATAAATAATTAAGTTGTATTACTTTTTCACAACTTGTCCCTATAAATAAAAAGCTTACTGTCTATTGTTACTTGGATTACATAGGTTAGTGCATTTCATGATTTTTATGTCTTTTTACAAACAAAAGTCCAAAACAGGGGCTGAACATTCGCATTTAGTCTTCCTGAGGCTTTTGCCGGAAGATAAGCTGCAAGAACTTTGTTGTGTCTAAAAATTGTTGTGTCTTAAAGTAATAATTAAGAAAATCTGATTAAAAAAAAAAAGTATAATTTCCTTCTCTTTTGTCTCCTTTCTTTGTTGCACCTGTCTCCTAGTATTTCTGTTCTAAGTAATGTATTGAACAGAGTTCTCTCAAATAGTCAAAGTCTTTGTGCAGGTTTATCCCTGACCTGCACGCTGCATGTTTCTTTTTTCTATTTTAGTGTCAGCCCCCTTTTGTTTTGTTTTTATAGGTCTTACTTAAATACAACATGAAGCACAACAGAATGAAAAGTCCCCTGCTGAGGTAGACAACTAAACTTTATTTTCAGAAACAGAAAGCACTCTTCTGCAGAATGTCAACAAATCAATCAAAAAGCAAAAAAAAAAAAGATAAACTGTTCTTGCATCTGTCCGTTTCAGAAAAAAATGCCTAGAAAAATCCCTTTAGTACAGCAAGATTGTGAAAAGCAAATTAACTTAACATCTTGTAAATGTGAAATAATGAAACAGATCAAAGTATGATGCCTTAAAATTCCTCTTTCTGCTAATCCAAAGAGTCTTATCACATAGTTAATTTAATACCGCAGGGAGGATTCACTTCAGAGTAAAACAAAGATGAGAAAAGTCTTGTGCTTAGGTTTTCATTTTGTTTATATTTTTAAGTAATTGCCTCTAGCTATTTAAACATGAATTATCCATCCGTCCATCTATTTTCCATCACGCTTTATCCCAGCTGGCGACACGAGGAAGCTGGTGCCTATATCCACCTGTCTATGGGCGAGAGGCAGGGTACACCCTGGACAGGTCGCCAGTCCATCACAGGACAACACAGAGACAAACAGGACAAACATCCATTCACACACTCACACCTAAGGAGGATTTATAGAAGCCAATTAACCTAACAGTCATGTTTTTGGACTGTGGGAGGAAGCCGGAGTACCAGGAGAGAACCTCTACATGCTCAGGGAGAACATGCAAACTCAGTGCAGAAAGAACCCGGTCCTGGAATTGAACCCAGAACCTTCTTGCATGAATTCATTTATCGTATTTGGATCAAATGAGTCGCTCAGCATTGACTGAAAACATTACACAGAGAAACTTCAATGTGCATTCTGACATACAGTAAATGAATATTAGTAGACATGATGCAAACTCAGCCTCATAATATATATATATATATATATATATATATTTATATATAATTATAAATAAAGGGTATTCCAGCAAAAACCGCTGCAGCCATGTTTGTTTTGCTTCTAGCTTTCCACCTCTGCTGGAAGTGTTAATACATGTCACTGTATTTCATTGGTCTGAAACATTTCCGTTTTGAGGCTAATGTATCTGTTGACTTCTAGCAAGATGTATTTTTGGCAGTTTGTAAATTAAAAAATCTCGTGACACCTTTCTTGCAAATTACTTTGCATCTTTCTTGCAAGGTAAGCATAGAGCTGGAAATAATGTTTTTTTTCTGTATTATTTTGCTTCTCTGGATGTAGATTTTGATGACTAAGGTTAGAGGTACTTCTTGGTGACTAGCGTGGCAGTGTTGTGTATTGTTATTGTTCCCAGTATATAGTTACTTCACATGTTGCAGTTGCATTATGTGTGATAAAAGCCATATGTATTCTACACTGAACACTTGTTGAAATTTTAAGCACAAAAAGCACATGCCCAACTACAGATCAGCTCTTCAGGTTTACCATTTTTTATTTGCATTCAGTTTAAGGTCTTATGTGCACCAAGTTCAGGCATAAAGTTGATGTTTTAGAATTCACCTCTTCTTTAGAGCAGTTTTGAAACATCTGCATCAACAGTAAAAACAACACTGCAGTGTTGTCTATTCATTAGTTCCTTTGAAAAATCTTCCATATTCATTTTGGTCATGAACTCAAGGTTGGATTGTGAGCAAGCGTTCATAACCGGCTGCCAAGGGAGACGGTTGTGGGGATGTTACAGGTGCATACCTTCTCCTTGCACTGAAATGAGGTGTAGCTTACAATATGCAGAATAGTCTAGGCAGCTTAATTGCTTCTGTCAAGTTAGCTGTGTGAACACACCAGAGATGGACTCACCCCACCTCCCATGCTTTCCACTCCTATCGCTCATATCTACTGTGGATTGTATCTGTCTGGTGAGTTGTTAATTTCCTGGGCTAGATCCAGCGACAGCCCTAATGTTCTCTGTAAGTATTCTCCCGTTAGCTGCCTAATGGGTTTGATTAATGTGGCAGCAGATCCTCCTGGACGTTTATGTTAGTCTGTGAGGCAGAATGACAGAAAGTATGTTACATACAGAACAAGCGTGCCCTCCGCCTGGGTGGGAAGCTATAAACTCCAGCAGGGTGAATCATTCTAAAATGGCTAATGTTAAACAAATAAAAAACGTGTTTTGTTTATTAAGTAATAATGCCTGTGAGACTACATAGCAAGCAGGCTCTTGTTTGTCAGCGGAACGCAAAAGGCAAGCCAAGTTTATTTGTATAGCACAATTCAGTACCCGCATTTTGTTTGTTTTTTTATTGACATTATTCTGTCACAAGTACAGTACAGCATAGGTAAATTTACTCTCTGCATTTAACCCATCCCCTTGGGGAGCATTGGGCTGCCATTTTCGGCGCCCGGGGAGCAGTGTGGGGTTAAGGGTCTTTTTTTGCTCAGGGGACCTAGAGTGGTAGCCTGTGGAAGTAGGATTCAAACTCACAACCTTAGGATTCCAAGCTCTATGCTATAATCACTAGGCCACCATTCCCCACAACAAGAACAGGTCAAAGTGAATTACATGAAAATAGAAGAAAAATTTAAGCAGAATAAAAGCAAATAAAAATAAAAACATGATTAAAACAGGTAGTAAAACTAATGAAACAGTTGGATCCCAATCTTTAACTAATGATACCTCAGTTTGCAGTCAAAGGCACCCCAAAAAAATGGGTTTTAACTTTGACTTCTCCATGTTTGGTTCTAGTTCTGTGTGGAAAGAGTAGACTGGGCCTAGAAGACCTGAGTGGTTTGGTAGGTTGATCCACTGACAACAAATCTGTTATGTATTGAGGTGCTGATCCATTCAGTGATTTATAGACTAACATAAAGATTTTAAAGTCTATTCTGTGAGATGTAGGGAGCCAGTGGAATACTTCAGAACCAGGCTGATGTGCTCTACTTTCTTTGCTCTAGTGAGAACACAGGCAGCAGAGTTTTCGATCAGCTGCAGCTGCCTGATGGACTTTTTAGGTAAAACTATGAAGACATTGTTGCTTTAATTGATTCGACTAAAGATAAATGCATAAATGGGTGTTTTTAGCTCCTGCTTGGACATTAGTCCTTTAATTCTGGAAATGTTCTTCAGGTGATAAAAGGCTGACTTAGTAACTTTCTGTATGTGCCTTTGACGCTTCAGGTCTGAGTCCATCATGACACCAAATTTCAGCCATAATCAGTGGTTTCTAGCTGTAGTAACTGAATCGTTGAGCTAACTCTGGATCTCTACTCCGAACATTATTACCTCTTTTTTTTTTTTTTAAGACAACCATGTTCTAGTTAATTATTTTTACAATGATTGAGAAACCTGACAGAGATAAAGCTACATTGCGAAATTTACGGATTTACGGACATAAATGTAATACCGTAAATTCTCTAATATAGGCCCGGGCCTTTATTTCACTCAAGTGCATCGCGGTCCAGGCCTTTATT